TATTTTTGACTCTGCGGTTAGAGAAATGCTGACTCATCATCACCATCATCAACTCTTACTCAGGGAGCTGATTTTCTCTGGTCTGTGAAGTGGGGGTCTGGACCCAAGCACCGTCACGGGCAGCAACAGTTATGTGGGGGAGTCCTGCCCCCTTGTCCCACCATCCTAAATGTGCACCTGTGCACACTGACCCTCAGGCCAATGGACCTTAGATTCCCAAAACAGGCAGGGCAAGGAAGATATAAAACCCAAGCAATCAGGGATTATACTGGCACAGAGCCTTCCCTACTAGCATCATCTAGATCAGAGAGATAATACATTTTTAGTTATTGGAGTCATGTATTTACTTATTTAATAAACATTTATTGAGCACTTACTATGTGCAAGGCGAAAACCTCAACCACAGGTGCCAGTGTATGCTTTAAGGAGGCACATTAGTAAGTTTCCAATTCTACCTCTGCTCCTCTTAATGTGAACAATCAATCAGGGCCATGTTGTCCTTTAAAATGGTGGGAATCCTAAAGATTCTTGGGAAAATAAACCAAGAATTCAGAACCTCCAAGGCAACTGAGGGCCAGCAGGAAGATAATGTTAGTTTTTAGCGTAGGTGTTAGGGTGCTATGAAAACATGGGACCATAGTTTTAACTGGACACATCCGTAGCTTTGATAACTGAGGAGTCCCACATTGTAAGGCTCTTAAGGGTGCACGAAATAGCCCCCAAAGTATAGATGAAGATATATTAATAAATCCAATAAAAAATACAACCAGTGGGTACAGATGGTACCACCATCACCACAAGCACTCATTTCCAACTTGCTACCCTGTTTTTTCAATCACATTGCAGGTGAGGGTGTGAATACTGTTTGGGCAAGCCACCCTTGGCCAACCGTCTTCCCCCTGTAACCCTTGCCCCACAACCACAGATACAAAGGCGTGCTCTGTGAAGGAAGGCGGTGTCATGAAGATGTGCAGAAAGCCGGGGCTTCATGGTCAGAGAGATCTAAGTTTAAAGCCTGTCCCATCTCAACACTTTTGAATCCATCATCTATATGAGTTACTTAGCTTCTCTTAGCCTTAGTTAGTCTCTGAGTCCTAGTTAACTCATCCTTAACATGTAGAATACCAACTAAATGGGTCATCCTGGAGTAATGAATATAGAACAAGTAACCTGGATCTTGAGACACAGAGGGTGACCGATGAATATTGATCCCCATCACCTTGTACACTTCCAGAACATCACCTCTGGATAGGCGACCCTCCTGGATGGCCTATTTGTGTTTACCCTGTTGTGTTTGCTATTGCCTCTTCACTGGCAGATGTTGAGCCTAGTTCTCACAGGAGAAAATGCTCACTCAGCCTCTCTGTTTCATTTATTAAACACATATTTTCAAGCCCCCTCTATGGGTAACATGCTGTATTAGGTCCAGTACTGGATGCAAAAATGAATCAGATATCAACCCTACCTGCACGAGCTGTATAATTTTGGAGGGAACCCAAACATGCAGTACAAAGTAGAGTGATGCATAATTTAAGGGAGGCAGATAAAGTGTTGTAACTCAGAGAAATGAGAAATTATTTTCACCGGGGACAATCAGGGGAGACGTTTTGAAAGTGATGCCACAGAAAATAGGCTTCAAGGATGAATAGTGCTTAGATGTGAAGATGGGTGAAGGGCATTATCAACAGTTATTGTGGGAATGGGGGTGTATGTGAGAAAGCAAATGGGTTACAAAAAGGATTCCAAATAGAGTCATATGTCTGGGATATGGGTGAGTGAAGCAAAGGAAATACACAACTGAGAGGCACCTTGGCCTCAGCCTGTACAGGATCTTAAAGGCGAGGCTAACAAATCTGGATGTGATCTGTGGACAATGGGAAGTAAGTGAAGTTAGTGAAGGGTCCTGAGAAGGGACACGATATGATCAATATGACCACATATTTTTCTACGAGAGGGCCCTCCCCTCACTAACGGTCCTGTGGTTTCAATCTCTTCATTCCTTCCAAAGCCCCTGCCTGAGAAGAATTTTCACTGTTTCTACTTCCAAGTCCATGTGGCCCTTTCAGAATCCTCTCAAGTTTTCCTTTCCAATCTGACTCTCTGGATGGACTTGTGTTGATGTTGTAAATAATTGGCACGATCTAAATTCAAAGGAGGCACTAGCCTTTCACAACCCAGGAAATAATTTCTTCTACTTATCCTGTTGATAGAATCATAATTACTCATCTGCTCCCACGGGGTGGCCATTCATAATGTTATCATTACAGGTGTACAATTTTACACAAAGAGAAAGAAAACTTAAGTATTTCGCAAAATTAGAGGAAGAATTGTCACCCCAGGTGCGGAAATAAAACGTCTACCTCTTAAGCAGTTTCTTAAAACACTACAAACCAGAGTTCCCTGTTCGCATACAGGGACAATACATCAAGCATATTACAAATATGCCATTTATTGGAGATCATTTGTTTAATTATCAGTCCCATCACCTGAACAATTTAGTTAAGTTTGAATGACCCAATCACCATTTCATTTATTCATCCTATGCAAAAAAAAAAAAAAAAAAAAAAGCCAGAAAAATGCAGGAGGAGGGAAGGAAGGGAAGCAAGGAGAACAGAAGTGAGAATGCAGGGGAAAAAAGGAGCAGGAGAGTAAAGACTAAATCCATACTGTGGGGCAGAATCCCCACTCTGCCTGATTAGGAATAAGCATAGCACAGTGCCAACTGCGACAGAATGCATGACCAGACCAATTAAATATACTAGAGCCCACTATGAGCTAAATTTCAAAGATACAGACATGAATAAGGTAAGCCCCCTGCTCTCCAGCAACTCGAGGCTTAAATGAGAAGACGGAGAATTAAACAAGTAAATTGCGATACAATGGCCGAAATGCTGTAAGGAAAAGGAGCTGTTGAAAAGCTTTGAGAGCACCAGCGGAGAGAGGAGGAGGGTCCTTGAGAGTTGTTATGTGTACACTTTTAGGTGAGTCCCTGAACCTCTTTAAACCTCGTCTCTAAAAAGCGATTATGTCTAGTTGCTTATCTTTCAAGGTTGTTTTGACATTCAGTGAATTCATGGTTGGAAATCCACTCTGCAAACTGCAAGCCCTATGCCGGGCTATTTCCTCTGTTCATTTGAGCAAAGGCCTACTCAGTGCTTATTCTGTGCACTTGGTTCTAATGCTGTGGGCTGAGCACTGACCCTCCCTGGAGCCTCCTGTCCCTCCACCACCCCAAGTTTTAGCACCACCATTTGGCTTCCTGCTGTGTGTTGAAGCAGCACACCCACAAACACACAAACCACTGAAAAATAAGATGAAACACTCACCAACTTCAGGCTGCCTCCATCCTTGATGTCCACAGAAGACAGCAGGGTGAGGTCCGGGCACCCACGGAGGGTCCCTGCTGGGTGGGAGAGCCTTGGTCCTCCCTCTCCAGGCCACCTTTCTTTCTCTGGTCCTCATCTTCGCTGCCTTTCTCCATCCACACGTGCCCTGTCCCCTTTCTGCCTGCTTCTCTCTACCTGTAACAGATTTTCTGTTTTCTCGGCTTTACTCCCCCTCTCATTTGCGCATTCACACTTCTGTTTGAGAACAGAGTAATTTCTAAATCTCCGAGAGCATGTCTATGAGGCACTCTGGAGAGGGGGTGCCTCCATGAAGGCCTGAGAACCCCTGAAACTATCTCTTAGAGCCCCCTCCAAACGCCAAAAATCTCTTTAACTCCTCCATCTTCCCCCCCTCTCTCCCTATCTCCTTTCCCTTCCCCCCACCTTCCCTTCTGATTCATCAGTTCTCTCTCCCCTTTCTTCTCCAAGGACCCTAAGCCCCTGTGCCACTTCTCTTTTTAGTCTCACACCCCTGCCATTCTGCCCCTCCCCACACCTCCCCTACGCGTCCCCTAGGTCCCAGCTCCCCCTTCTATTCCTCTCGCCCTTTCCTCTCCCACCCACCCTCCCCAGGGTCTCTAAGGAGCAGGCTGCCCCAACTGAAGTTGTGCCGGAACTCCGGGTCTGGACAAGCAGCAGCTCAGAACTCTGCTCAGCAGCCGATGACCTCACTGAATCTTGCGCGTGTGATTGGCTACTTCTGGGCTTATGGCGGGAGACTGAAAAGATCCCCTTGTTCCTTTGTCCCTCTGCCCCTTCAGGTTGGCTTGGGGGAATAGGCCTTTGACACAATGTAGTCACAGAATGGTTTATGGGCTGCTTGCTAGGAAGAGAGGGATTTGTTGTGCCTGAGGAGTGAGCAGAGTCGGTGATGTAAGTGGGCAATTGGACTGAGGATGAAGGAGGCCAACTTGAGAATTTGAGCCCCCAGTAGGAAGGTGAGCCTCTGGGAAGGTGGTGGGCACCTTCTGCCCTCACTGTGGTGTCTGTAGAGGTAGGGTCTTAACGGAAACAAATGGAACTTTGGATTTGGATCGGGCATTCAATTTCTGGTCTTGGTTTTCTATTTATATGACCTTGGGCAAGTCACTTCATTCTGTTTCCACTCTGCAAGTAGTAGTAGTCATGCCGGAGTGCTGCTTTTACAGGCCTTTTAAAAGGGTTAATGTGAAAGTATTTTCTCATTATTAAACCTCTCATTATTTCGGTAGATAATAGAGTGAAGCAGAGAGAATCCTGGATGAGGAATGAGAAGTCTTGGGTTACCTTTAATTGTCGCTGTAGTGACCTCCACCATGTCACATTTAACCTTTCCACGCTGCCAAGTGGGAGAACTGGGCCAGTGGCATCTAGGAGCTCTTTTGGCGCTAACATGATCTGATTGACTGGTAACACTTAGCATCCTCCTTTAGCTCACCCGTGGGAGGAAGAGTTGCCTCCTTTTCCAGTACTTTAGTTAGTCGCCTTTTTGTGAGAAACCCGCCTTTTCTTGGGCAATTTGGTGGACCTCCTTTTCACAGGGGCCTAGCTCTCCCCCACCTCCACCAATGAAAGTATAGATCCCACACTACAGCAGCGCATATGCAGGGCTCATCCTTGATGGAGATTCTCTCCCCAGGCTACTGGCAGGAGCAGGATTTGGAGCTGGGAACTCTGGCTCCACTCGACGAGGCCATCAGCTCCACACTCTGGAGCACTCCTGACATGCTGGCCAGTCAAGGTGAGAATCCAGGCCTCCTCATCTCAGTGTCTCTCGGTGCCCGCAGCCATCCTCATATCACCTCCCACTCATGTGGCCTTCACCCCGTGTTCTCCTCCTCTACTTTCCATCTGACATTGTAGTTCTTAGTTCTACACCAACATCTCTAGCACCCGCTCCTTCTTCCTTTAGTACAGAGACCTCTGTTTCCCCTACACTTTTTTTCTAAAAAGTGGAATGATTTCAGGAGGAGTGTATTGCTCAGAATAAAGAGGTCTGGAAGACATAGTCAGCGTAGAAATTTTCATAAGGAACCAGGGACAATGGAATTGCTAGTCAAAAATTGATATATAGCTAGCAGTAAATGAAAGGCTTCCCAAATCTTTCATTGAGATAGTTAAGGAATATACCACTCCCAAATTTACCCAGCCAGCTCCATCTATGGGTCATTAATCTCATAGTCATAGTTTTAATTCTAATTAGATGGTTACTTGAGGGGCATTCCAATGACATAAGCAACTGCATTGAGTGTCAGAAGAACCAAGTTCTAGTCCTAACTGGAATCATTGATAAGTAGAATGAGCTTAGGCCCTCACAGCACCTCCATTGTCTCATTGTCTACACGAAAAATGAGGGAATTGGATTCCATGATCCCTAAGATCCCTTTCAGTTCTAATTCAGATTCTAACCCCTGAAACTAGTGGCCAGGCTCTGTGCTTCAGTGTGGAGACAGCTATCCCGAAGCCCCGAGAGCAACTTCAGCACATGCACCTTCTCTACCGGGAGCACTCACGGTAGTTGGAGCTGGAGGGAGCACTCACAGTAGTTGGAGCTGGAGCTGTGGTGACCAAGGAAGAAAGGAATAGCAGACAGGGAAGGGGTATGGTCGGTGCCAGAGGGAGCATAGGGATTGTCTGAGTTACTCCATGAGGAAACCTAGGAATTGTGTTTCTTGGCTTCCTATCCAGAGGAGAGTCATGCTGGCTAAGTCATGTCGCACCATAGAAGAAATACTGTAGATGTTTCCCAATCAGCTGGGAGGTGTTTATTTTAGTTCTGTGAAGGTCAGTGCTATTGGGTCACAGAGTCAGTCCTGAAGAGGAGAGAATCAGTCATGGGAATCAGAGGCAATGCTGTGGGGAGGATGGAGCAATGCTACTGGGAGGAGGAGCAAGGGTCACGCAGCCCAAGGGGCTCACAGTTGACGCCTGACTAGAAGACATATTTGGGATTCCAATGGCTCATCCATACGATATCTGATTAGTCCTTTTTTGTTTGTTTGTTTAACGTGACTAAGGAGAGAGGAATTAGAAAACATCTTTCCATCACATCGAAGGGAAAACTAGTCCTCTAACACCGGGATGGTGATGGGTTTGTGTGTTGGGAAGCGGGTAGCACAAACACTGAAGAAATATGTTAAGGGAGCTGATGAATGAAGGGCAGCTATTGTTGGAGGAACTGAAAAGTTGGTGTCAAATGTTTCCGTTTTTTAAAGCTGTTGTGTTTGTTTGGTTTGAAGTTGTATCAGCTACCGCTTATCTAAGTGAATGTGTTCGCTTTTAGTTTGGGGATTATTAGTCACAACTGCTTCTCCTGTTCTTGCTTCTATAGGCAGGTGGTGGCAGGAAGGCGAAACATAGGATGACAGATACAATGGGGCCTTGACTTACGAGTTTAATTCTTTCCGTGACCGAGCTCGCAACTCAAATTACTCGTATGTCAAATCAATTGTGAACGAGTGAGACACGTGATGCTGGGCTGATGCTGTGGCGTTCACTGTGATGTTCGCTGCGCCAACTAGCGGTGGGGTATCTGAAGCTGGCTCGTAACCCGAATTTTAGCTCGAAACTCAAAGCAAAAAATCCGCTGAGAGACTGCTCGTATCTCGAAAAACTCGTTAGTCGGGACACTCGTAAGTCAAGGCCCCACTGTACATATGTGAATGTATAGACTTTTCAAAGGTGAATGGTAGACCTCTATCAGGAAAGACGCATGTGGAGTGGCATGGGTAGATTTGGAGGGCTTTTACTCCTCCAAGTATGTGTGGCCATGTCAGTTTATTAAGCAAACATTCAACAAGTAACTGTTGTCCTGTGCATTCCAAAGAAATAAGGTCCTCCCTCCACCACCTCTGTTCCTTCCCCCTGTTCCTTCCTCCGTGATGCCTTAAGAGACACAGAGACCTGGGCCTTGGCTGGTCTGAATGAGACTTTGGCCCAGAAATGGGTGGAGGGAGTAGGGCTTGCTCCGGAAACTAACCCTCTTCTACTCCTGCAGACAGTCAGCCCTGGACATCCGATGAGACAGTGGTGGCTGGTGGCACCGTGGTGCTCAAGTGTCAAGTGAAAGACCATGAGGACTCCTCCCTGCAGTGGTCTAACCCTGCTCAGCAGACTCTTTACTTTGGGGAGAAGAGAGGTAGAGCTGTCTCTCTCTGTGGGGACCGTGAACTGGGGAAGGGGACTGCAGCCCTGAGGGGGAAGGTCCCTATAGCCCAGGGGCTGAGACAGGTGAAGGTATGGCTATTTGAAGAAACAACAAGCCATGGGCTCCCTGGCTGGTTTCAGAGAAACTTCGTTATTACAGCTCTGACCTGGGCCATTCATGGTCTTAAGGGGGCCTGGGTGGACTTTACCCCAAAGGAGCAGGAAGAGACAGCCTAATCTAAGTGTTGACCTGTGAGTCTCACGTGGAAGCCCTCGAGATCCAACATCCTTTTCTGAGTCTATCTGAGGCTACTGTGGCCAGTGGCCCAGGAAAATGACCTAAAGACTGTTGAAACGCGGGAGCAGGATTTCCCCCCTGCCCCAAATCGCACTATACCCCTTCCCCCAAAAACGCTGACCTGGGGTGGGAGATAAACATGGACGATGCCAGTAAAAGTTTGCCTCCCACTCTCCCCATTCCCCGCTAGCCCTTCGAGATAATCGGATTCAGCTGGTGAAATCCACACCCCATGAGCTCAGCATCAGCATCAGCAACGTGGCCCTGGCGGACGAGGGCGAGTACACCTGCTCCATCTTCACGATGCCCGTGAGAACTGCCAAGTCCCTCATCACTGTGCTCGGTGAGGCTCCCCAACCCCAGGGTCACTGCCGCATGCTCTGTGCAAACAAACCTCTCTAGGTGGGTCCCCAAAGGAGTCTAGAGCCAGGCAAGGCTCCGAGCCTTTTGGAAAAGTTGGGCCCACCTTCCCTTTGCAATGGAACAAAATGGAAAGAGCACTGACTTCTAATAATTTCTCCTCTACTTACCGTGTGCTCTGGGACAGACCTCTTACTCTCTCTGAGCCTGAACTTCCTAACCGGTAACAGAAGGATGATGATGTTTGTTCCACCTGCCTCCCAAGACTGTGTGAGGGAAACATGGGAGGCGCATGCAGTGTATGATTATAATGTCCAGGTTGAATACCACAGTTGCTCACATGCTCTCATCCTCTATTTTATCCTATATTTCAATTCCCTTCTTTGTTTCCCTGAGCTTCATACTACTTCTGTGGCCACCCCGTTGTCCTCTGGGTTGTCAGGTCACATATCATGTCTCAGGTGTGGTGCATCTCCACACTACCATGCCTCTCCACCCTCCCCCCCCCACATCTTTCTTCCTGGTCTTTAGGTAGGAGATCAAAGAGAAAGATAACTAGTTTTCTACCCATCATAAGCCACAGTAGGACCGAGGTACACTCTCCCCCAGAGAGGCCATCTCAGCAGGGAGAGCCAAGTATAACCTCACGGCCCCTCCTTCACCTCCTGCCCATCCCCTGTGCATGGTAGGAATCCCACAGAAGCCCATAATCACTGGCTACAAGTCATCGTTACGGGAAAAGGATACAACCACCCTACACTGCCAGTCTTCTGGGAGCAAACCCGCAGCTCAGCTCACCTGGCGGAAGGGTGAGCAAGAGCTTCATGGTAAGTCCCTCCTGCCTCGGGGTTACAGGAGGAGGTGTGTTGGGAGGCAGAGAGAATGAGAGAGGGAGGGGTGCGTGTCTGTATGTGTGTGTGCACACAAAGCATGATGCAAAAGGAAAAAGCAGGAATGACAGATATTCTGTGTACACTCATGGGTGTATGTGTGTACATATCCATTTCACAACTTTCTAAGTTTGTCGAAGTTGAAACTCACCATCTGTATGTCTACAGTGGGGCCCACACACTATCTGTGTGTTAGGGCTCACTGTTTCTGTGTGTGTGTGTGTCTGTGTGTGTCTGTATGTGTGTGTATCCGTTTCTCTACTCTAGGAGAACCAACCCGAATACAGGAGGACTCCAATGGTAAAACCTTCACCGTGAGCAGCTCAGTGACGTTCCAGGTTACTCGAGAAGATGACGGGGCCGACATCACATGCTCTGTGAACCATGAATCTCTAAACGGAGCTGACAGATCCACCTCTCAACGCATTGAAGTTTTATGTATGTCATGGGCTTATGGGTGAAGACGAATCAGGTATGAGATGGGGTGTGGGGAAAAGGAAAGTGGTGGTGGCTGTACGTGAAGAAATAGGCACAGATAACTGAGTAGGTAAAAACAAAATGAGACAAGAGGAGGTAGGATAGGCCAAGGGTTAGCAGACTAGTTCTGTAAAGGCCCCAGCAGCAAACATTTTAGGCTTTGGGGGTCATATGGTCTCTCTCTCAACTACTCTGCTGTTTTTGCAGGAAAGTAGCAAAGATAATATGTAAACAAACAAACAAGCATAGCTGTGTTCCAACAACATGTTATTTACAAAACCATGTAGCTGGCAGGATCGGACCCAATGGGTAAGCTTGCCAAGCCCTGGAGTAGGCCAGTATGATGCAACCAGCTTGTAAGCTGTCGTGGTAACTATAGCAAATCAGGAATCAGAAGACGTGCGTTCTAGTCTGCCCTCTGCTACTTATGAGCCATGTGATGCTAAGAAAATTGTTTCACCTTCCTGAGCTCAATTCTTTACTTGCTAAATGAGAAGATGAACATGGGGATTACTGAGGCTTCTTCTTGATCTAGCTTTTGATGGTTTCAAGAAAATGCAGGCGGTAGGAAACACAATCTCTCCGGCATCATTCTTCCCAGGTCTTTTCCTACATCCTCCTCTATCTACCACAGCTCTTTGATTTTTCCTGGGATTCTGACCCAACATGCCCACGATCACCGTCACTACTCTTAACCTTTCCCAGGATCCTCCTCCCTCCATGGACTCTGCCTTGAGGATGGACAGTGAACTTCCCTCCTCACTTGAGGAAATTTGGACATTTTCCAAAAGAGCTTTTCCAAGTGGAGGAACCAAGGGGGAAGGAAAATAAAGTCCAAAGCTGGAAGACGAAGAGCTGTAAAATAATGTATTTTTTTTTCTAATTCATCTAAAGGCTGGGTGTTTTTCCAAAATAATTAAAACCCTTAATCTCTTTCTTGTGGGAGATACAGGCCCGACTTGAGGGCTATTTAAGTCAATTGCTAAACTTGCTGCTGAAACTTGAACATGAGGTAGGTCTGGGGTCGCATCACTTCCCATTTAGCAGACTCTCAATTTGGAAGCTGACGACCCGGATTCTGGCTGGGGTGCCTCTACTTCTGTGTTATTTTCACCAAAGCATGTCGTCTCTTAGTGGCTCCTGCTTACGCCACTGAACTTTCTTGAGGATAAATGAAATAATATCTAAAGAAATGCTTTGTAAACTTGAGTTCTATGTTGCTGTAATGTGTTTCTCTGGTTGGTCGTTCTGGCATTGGGCTTCTTCCTCTGAGCCTGGGCCCAGGCCAGGGCTAAGGAAGCTCTCCCCTGTCGGGGTCCCAAAGACTTCTGCTAGGTACCGGCCATCTGGCAAGGACTCTCCAGGGAGCTTTGTGGCCCACCTGTGATCAGCGGTCAGTCGACAAATGCTATACTCCAGGCACGATGCTGGAGGTTTCTGCGGGGCCTGCTTCTCTTTGCCCTGTTTGATTTGACTGAAACGCATTCATTAACCGGTTAGGTTTGGTTCTGTCTTAGGGGAAGCTCGGCCTCTTTACCTGTTCTTCTAAGCCAGCGTCTGGTTGGACTGTTCTCCGCAGCCATCTGGACCGAGCCTCCTCAGCAGCCCTTTGGCGTCAGTGGCAGATGCCACCCTTCCTTTGCAGAGCCCGTCTATATTGTGTCAGTCCCTTTTTGCAGCCAAAATATGCGCCCCCCCCCCCCCCCCCCCGCATCTCTTGCTGCTTCAAAGCTCTCACTTCATGTTTGGACGGACCGTTAAAAATTATGTTTTATTTTCTTCCACTGCTTTAAGTTCCCCTACAGAACAGAGAGGATTGAGGGGTTGTGAGCTCAATAGTCAAGTTCAAGTGTATTTGTTCTGTCACAGCTATGCATTAAGTTCCACTGATGCGCTGGGCAGTGCGAGGCACAGATGCACCGGTGGCAGGCCTCCTCAGCTCTCTGTCAGACATGTCTTGGGTCCTCACCAAGGACAGACCCTCCCAGAACCCTACCTCTACCAGGCGGCAGCACCAGTCCCTCCCACATTCAATGGCAATAGCGCTCTTGGCTCACAAGACGCAGGGGGAGCCAAGCCTCGGTTCACAGCCACGTGGCCTCCCAAGGCATCAGGGCTGGAAGCCGTGGTGTGTGACAGGATGCTTTGGAGATCAAGGCGGTCTCCTGAACCGTGTGGGAGTTTTGCATTGACACCATCTCCTTCTCCACAGACACACCCATAGCGAAGATCCGGCCAGACCCTCCACATCCCCGCGAGGGCCAGAAGCTGTCGCTGCACTGCGAGGGGCGTGGCAATCCCGTGTAAGAGGAGTCCTTTCCTGGCCGCCAGTACAACTCCATACTCTCAGATGGAGATCTTCACATAACGTCTTCCCATCGCCTGCGTACTGTCCGAGCCTCTCATTGTCCCTGACGCTAACAGCCATCCTCTGCTTCCACTGCAAAGCAGCAGAAGTGGGGAGGGGCCACTCCCTGGTTCCCATAAGGAACCCCAAGAGGTCACCCTCCCCCTGCCTCTGAGCAGCTCAGTGTCTCTGGCCCCTATAACCACTCGAGCTTTCATCCAATAGCCCCTGACTTCCCTGCTCCGTTATTTCTGTTTCCCTTTAACTCCCTGACCTATTCTCTTCTGAACTCTCAACAGCCCCCAGCAGTACCTGTGGGAGAAGGAGGGCAGCGTGCCACCCCTGAAGATGACCCAAGAGAATGCCCTGATCTTCCCTTTCCTCAACAAGAGTGACAGCGGCACCTACGGCTGCACGGCCATCAGCAACCTGGGCAGCTACAAGACTTACTACACTCTCAACGTGAACGGTGAGCCCGCCTCCATTCCCCTCCCGCATCCCTCTTCTCCCCTTCTCTGTCCATCCAACTCGCTCATCTTTCTGTCACCTGAGAGCACCCCAGATGGTGCTTTGGAGTGGACTAAAGGGACAGCAGCCCCCCGTTGAGGGCCTGAAGACTCAGCTTCAGAGCCACCCTGACATGTGCAATAAGGAAAGACCAACAGGATGTAGGGCTCCCCTAGGCCTTCGTTTAGCAATGATGACTCAAGTGACACCATCCTCCAGCCCCTGCACTCACCTGGCAGCAGGTCATCCTGTGTTTACCCCCAGGGCCTCTCACGTATGGCTGTCGATGCCTGTCCCTTTGCAACAGGCTAGTCTCAGACTTGCTTCGTGACTGGGACAGAATGCATACTCCTGCAGACCTGGGTCAAGGCCAGACGTGGAGATAAGTCTGTACTCTGTTGAGAAATAGTTGGAATCTTTTCCCAGATACCACATCTTCTAGAGCAGCGGTTCTCAACCTGTGGGTCACGACCCCTTTGGGGGTCGAACGACCCTTTCACAGGGGTCGCCTAAGACCATTGGAAAACACATATGTAATTACATATTGTTTTTGTGATTAATCACTATGCTTTAATTATGTTCAATTTCTAACAATGAAAATACATCCTGCACATCAGACATTTACATGACGATTCATAACAGTAGCAAAATTACAGTTCTGAAGTAGCAATGAAAATAATTTTATGGTTGGGGGTCACCACAACATGAGGAACTGTATTAAAGGGTCACGGCATTAGGAAGGTTGAGAACCACTGTTCTAGAGGAACTAGGTGATGCTTCTTTTCTGACGTTCTTATCAAAGGTGCATCTGTAAAACCCAGGTCAGGAGAAGAGACAGGCTAACGCAGAATTCCCTTATGGAGAATGGGGCAGGTGATTTTTTTAAAAATATGTTTTTATTGATTTCAGAGAGGAAGGGAGAGGGAGAGAGAGAGAAACATCAATGATGAGAGAGAACCATTGATTGGCTGCCTCCTGCATGCCCCCTACTGGGGATGGAGCCCGCAACCCGGGCCTGTGCCCTGACTGGGAATCGAACCCTGACCTCCTGGTTCATAGGTCGATGCTCAACGACTGAGCCATGCTGGCCGGGGTAGGCAGGAGATTTTTTTGCAGAACCCAATAGCAGTGGAGTGGGGTCGTGCCAGAAAGTCTTATAAGCCTTTCCTGAGAATAGGGAAATGCATTGTCAGGGGAACATCGAGGCTCCCTTGAGTGAAACATCCATTAAAGCCGGCCTAATCAAGCCTGAGGAGACAAAGTAGGAAAGAGAAAATATATAATAAGGAGTCAATGAGGCATCAAGACAAGCTGAGTCGGTGGAAAAACAGCAGTTCTCCCACGGACGGGCTCCCAGGGACAAGGGACCTGAGTGTCTGGCTGGGGCGGATCTGACCCTAGGGCGGACCTCAGCATGTGGGGACGGGCTCAGCACAACAAACAGGGCCAGAAGCCTGCAGCAAGGGCGGGCACTGAGGTTCGGTATCCACCCCCGTATCTCCGCAGACAAGCTGGATGATGATTGGCAGCCAGAGCAAGTTCTTGTGCCCTGTGGTTGGCCTTTTTGCTGGTCCTCTGTGCCCTGTGCTGGAAAGTGAGTCTTGTTTAAACGGCTTCCAGTGCTGACCCCTGATGGTAGAATGAGTTACTGCATCTTCTTGCAGGAATAGCCTAAGCAGTATTGACTCCACCTGCCTGGAATGAAATTAAACGGCGTTCCACCGAGAGACAGGGGCCTGTCGTGGATGACCCAGGAGGTCATGTTGCTATGGGAACCTGTTTGTCTAGGGAATTTCCGTTTCCCTAATCGCTAGAAAAATTACCCAGGATCTGTTTTTAATGTGGCCTGTGTCTCACATACTCCCCAGGAGAAGGGCAGTGGGTACCTTCATGCTGCTTCCTGTCACTCACACCATCACACGCCCCCATCCTCTCAGGGAGCCCCGGGGTCATCCTCTCCTTCCCTCCCGAGTGGACCATGAAAAACCGGAGCACAAACGTTTTCTTTTTAAATAAGGCATAAGCAGGCAAGGCGCTTAAAGCCGGCCTGATCAAGCCTGAGGGGACAAGGTGGCGGAGACAAAACACAGAATAAGGAGTCAATGAGGCATCAAGACTCAAGCTGAGTCTGTGGAAAAACAGCAGTTCTCCCATGGATGGGAGTCACATCGATGCGGAGGGTAATTTTGGACACATCAGCACTGCGTCCTGGGCCTGGGCCCTGTCTTCCGGGCATTTGGGACTCTGCCCTGGCGGGTGCTGCCCTGGGCATGCCTGGCCCCTCTGTGCGGTGGGCATCGATCCTCCACGGATGCTGCTGTGGAGGACAGGTTCGCTATCCGGTGGCAGAGACATTGGGACTTCATAACGGAAATCTTCAACTTCCCACAAGCCTCTGAGTGGTGGGAAGTGAACATGCAGCCGCAGGCCCTCCTGATGAGACTTGCTGGAGGGTTGGGTTTTGCTGGAACTCAAACTCCTCCGCCGAGGAGGAGCTCTGGTCTTCAGGGCAGGGGGGGCGCAGCCTATCATTTTTAAGGTGCATCTTACGCAGGTGCCCAGTTCTGGGGCCCATCAGTCTTCTACTGCTCCTTCTCTGTCTGATCTCAGGGTTCACAGGTTGAGAAGCCCCTGTGGAGAATCCATCTCAGAATATCAAGCGGACAGAAGCATACGAGGGATGGAGGATAGGGAAGGAATACTCTGAAAGCCCAGAAATTAGAAGAAAGAAATATAGAAACAGAGGCAGACAGGGAGAGAGGGAGAGAGTTCAAGAGATGACTTAACCATTAAAGTGATGAACTCGGACTTTGTCAAGGTCCAACTTCAGGGCTATGAATTTGATTTTCAGGGTTAATTGGAGGAGATGTATCTATTTATGCGTGAGCACATTCATGCTTGCAAACGCTGCTATGTCCCACACACTGTGTGAAACGTGATAAGGCCCAGCCCCCTTGCTGAGCGACACCACTCCAGCCACTCCATTCTCCCAGCGAGCCTGTGTTCTCTGCTGTGTGAGGCTCCCTGTGGCCAGGCCGGAGATGCTGGGATATTGGGCTTCTAGGCCTGACCGTGTGCATCGCCCCTTCTCTCCAGACCCCAGTCCGGTGCCCTCGTCCACCAGCACCTACCACGCCATCATTGGCGGGATCGTGGCGTTCATTGTCTTTCTGCTGCTCATCCTGTTCATCTTCATCGGCCACTACTTGATTCGGCACAAAGGTCAGCTGTGAGGGGAGGATGAGGAGAGGTGGGCGCGGGGAGGGAGGCGGGTCGGCACCCGAGGCCGGTGGGAGCTGGCTGCAGGGAGGGCCTTCGGGGGCCCGGCAGCCCCTCCGAGGTTTGAGGAGGAAGAACGCAGGCACCTCGGTAGTGATGGAGCCCCCAGGCCCCTCAGTGCAGCCTCACTGCTATCATCATCCACAGAATCCAACCTTCCCACTCAGCCAGCTGCAGCTCCCACGCTGCTCCGCCGCCAGGGCTCTCGCCTTCAGCAGGGAACGGCACAGCTCTGCCTCTTCTTGCCATCTCTTGACACTCTCCTGCCTTTCTGTCTGGCCTCATGTTCCCTGACCTTTGACCTCCTGCCCCTGGTCTCCACAACATCTCGTTTCTTTCTTCCTCTCTCCTATATGCACGCCATCTCGCTACCCTCTCTTCATGTGCCTTCCTCTCAGATGTTCCCCTAATAACTTCTAGCTGCAGCCAGACTACCCAACTGATCAGGTGCTGGCCAGCTCTCTACTGCATTGCACAAGGAGCCGACATGCCAATTTACCTAGCACCACCTTACACACAGAGACACACACATGCACACACATGCATATATGTGAACATGTGTGCACACATGCACATGCATGCATATCCACACACGGGGATGCAGACACATCAGACATACACAGAGAGACACATATATCATATGTGCACACATACACATGAATGTGCCTGCATATATACGCATAGACATACATGCATACACAGACACACATACAGACACAAGCACATCTGCACACACACGCTGTTGTTTTGTTGCCACTATTATTGAGATTCTCTATTTAAAGGCAGCACTCATGAATTCATAGGGGTGTGGTCGGGTGAGGGGTGTTGGCAGCAAAGTGCACGTCGGGTCTGATGGGAGGAATGAAGCTCCGGCCAGGAGCAGGCGTGGGTGGGCGGGTGGGAGCGTGGGCCGGGGGCGTCCGAGGTTTGGAAGCTGCTCCTGGAAGAGGAGCCTCTGTGCCTCCCCAGGAACCTACCTGACACACGAAGCGAAAGGCTCTGACGACGCGCCAGACGCGGACACGGCCATCATCAACGCGGAAGGCGGGCAGTCGGGCGGGGATGACAAGAAGGAGTATTTCATCTAGGGGCCCACTCCCCTGCGCCCCTGCAGGGGCCCCACGGGCACCTCTGGGGCCGTAACCACCTCGGACTTGTACAGAGCAACCCCGGGGCCGCCCTCCCGCTTGCTCCCCAGCCCCCACCCCTGTACAGAATGTCTGCTTTGGGTGCGGTTTTGTACTCGGTTTGGAATGGGGAGGGAGGGGGGGGAGGGAGGGCTGCCCTTGGCCCTTTCCTTGGCTTCTCTGCATTTGGGTTATTATTATTTTTGTAACAATCCCAAATCAAACCTGTCTCCAGGCTGGGGGGGCCGGGCCCGGGGCGAGAGGAGCAAAGGCCCTGGAGCTGGAGGAGGAGGAGGAGGAGGAGGAGGGGGAAGAGGTCAGGACAGGACAGGAGCAGGGCTGGTGTATGGGGGGCGAAGGTGGGGGGCTCGCACCAGCCCTCCGTCCTCTGCGCAGAGCAGCTGCTGCCTGGGACGAGGAGGTTGTGAGCAGAGCCGGAGAGGGACAGGCAGTGCCTCCCTGCTCCCCCTGTTCCACGTCCCTGGAAAAGGAACGAATGGGGTTCAGAGGAGGGGACCTGCAGATGGCCAGGGTGTCCACATGGGGAGGACGTGGTCCCCGCCAGGAGGGATGGATTTGGAGAGACAGGATGTCGAGATGGCCCACCTACCTTTGTCCCCCGTGATGTATGAAGCCAGGCCCTTTACACAGGAGCTGCCCTCGGGGGTCGCAGGGCAAGGCGGCCCCTCGTTGCTCCAGCGGCTGTGGAGAGGCCACTGTCTGCTCCCCTGCCCAGGGGCCCTCACTCACCCAGCCCTGGGCTGTTGCTGGGCAACCACTCCTCTTATGGCATTGTTTACCAACTCCTCCTCCCGCCCCGTGGCCCTGCCCCTCCAAGTCCTACCCCCCTTCCCAGCAGCCAGGCAGATATAACTACAAAAACACTAAAAGGAGCTTCGCTGCACTGAGCTGTTTCCTGCCCAAACAAAGCAGATAATGTGAACTTTGTGAGTGTGTGGACGTGTGTGTTGTGTGCACATCTGTGTGTGAGAGAGGCAGCGAGCGGTCCTGGCAGGTGGCGGCCGTGGAACCCGTGAAGGAGGGCCTTCGAGGAGAGGCCTCCTAGCCAGCGGGGGGCCTCCCCGGGAGGTGGTTTCATCCTGGCATCTCCAGGCCACCCCCAGGGCCCATCAGTCATGGAGAAAGCAGTCCTGGGATGTGTCCGTGCTCAGTTGTCCATCGAGTCTCGCCCTAAAACACGGAGCATCAGACCTCTGCCCCGGCCTCCCTTCTTGGAGCTTTGGGGTCAGTGCCACACCCTGCTATGCACCCTCGGCCTCTCCCTGGCCGGACCCTGGAACGACCACTGGCACTTCTGGGCCCGGTGAGCCGAGGGCTGGAGAGAAACTTCCCTTCCTCCCACCCCACCCCTCCTTTTGATTTTCTGTCTTCCTCCGTGGCCTGAGCTGGTTGCCATAGAGATGAGTTGCTCAGGCTCCCTGCCCAGCCAGCGGCCCTGCCTCAGACCCAGGATGCCCCTGGGCACCGCTGTCACCCTCGTTCGGCATGTCCTCCCTGCTGACACCCAGGGGTGTGCACAGGGGGGGCCGCTGCACCCGCAGGCCTGCCCACCCCCCAGTGCAGGTAACACCGTGGCTTTTCCAGCAGCTGGTGGGGGCCCTGGGCGCACAGCAGCCCCCCAAGCCAAGGCTCTCCCCTCGCAGCGGGCAGCCCGCGCCCCAGCCCCGGGCTCCTGTCTCCTAGCACCCGCTCCGGGGAAGTTGACTTTGCCTCTTTGAGCGGAATCACTCTGTCCATATTACACAGAAGCCATATTTGTACCGGGAGTCGGGGAAGAGGGACCATTGTGTTTGTGTGTCTGTCTGGGGTGGGGGTGGGGCCGGGCGCAGGGAGGGGACCGTATATCTTTATAACCTTTCTAACTCTCCTATGCTAATCTCAGAGGGGCACCCTCAATATATCGGATCACCGTGTCGCTCGCTCGGCTGCCTCCTTCTTGCCGCTCTCGCTCCCGTGGGGATGCGTGTCTAAGGGCTGCTCGCCGGCATCCCCCGCGCCTGGTATTTGCAGGGGTGGCGTGGGCCTCGCCGGGCCCTCTCCCAAGGGCATCTCTGTACGGAAACAATACAACTCTCCGAGGGAGAGAAGTGTGTTCACTTCCGTTGGCTGGGTCCTTGCTTTCCTGAGTGTCTGGGGCGGAGCATTCGACGGCTCCCCCTGCCTTCCCCCAGGCAGGATGGGAGGAGGGGGGGGGTGAAGGTGAAGATGCCACCGACATCATTCCAGGACGGTTTTCAACAGGTCCCCCAACTCGTTTTCCACCACTGCCCCCGCCCCCCATGGTAAACCTGAGCTAGTGTCCTGGGAGATGAGGGGATGGTCTTTGTAAGGCACCCGTTCTCTCACCCTGGGCTTCCCTACTCCACCTGCTGGGCCCCGTGGGCATGGGAAGGAGGTCCCTGGCAGGACTGGAGTTGAAACACCACATGCCTCCTTGGACCAACGAAACAGTGTCGCCTAAGCAGCCCCTCTACCTCCTCATTCGGACCCAGACACGCCATTACTCATCTCTTCCGATGTCCAGCCTAAGCCTCCCTAACTGAAGGAATAGGACATGGGGGCGGAGGGGGGACGAATCAGCAGAGACTCTGGGAAAGCACCTGGGGAAAGGGGTTACCTAAGAGCCGGCGTGTGTCAGCTTAGGGGACCCTCCCCGGGAGACACTCTGTCGCCATCTGGAGAGAGAGGGCCTCTCCCCACACGAGGAACTTGACACAGGGCTGAGGTCCCCACCGGTGCAGCAGCTGCACAGCCTCTGTGTCCCCCACGGACACAAATAGAGGTTCCTCCAGAGGCCACAGGCCCTTGAAAAAACGCTGTCCCGTTGTCCGCAGAGCCTGTCTACCTTTCAGACCACGTGTCCTGCTCGTTCTGGAGGGTGCCTTCGCTGTACCCAGAGGTGATAAGGCGCATGCCCGGTCACGCCCTGCAGTAGCTTTGGTAGGCAGCCCTCCCCCCTCCCACAGTGAAACCCCCAGATCCAGACACCTGTGTCAGGCGTGTGCACAGGTACACGGCACATGCCACCCCACAGGTACACGGCACACGCCACCCCACAGGTAAATGAGCCCTTCTCACTCCCGGGCTCCTACATAGAGAGCCCAGTCTCAGCATCTCAGGACCCAGCCCTGCACCACGAGCACTCCTTTCACAAACGCGTGGCTTTTGAACCATCTTTCACTGGCTCAGGTTCAAGGGGTGGAGGAGCAGTGAGCGTCATCAGCTGCCTTTCCCTCCAACTTCCCAGCATGCCTCTTATCTCTGCCTCACACTTCACCCCTGGCCCCTCTTCCTTCCTTGAACCCAAGGAATCCTTGCTGGAAAGCCCTTGGCTTCTCAGCCTCCCTTTCCACCTTCGGGAAAGTACCACCTTCTGGCCCCCACCTCCTTCCTTTCCCAAGTGCGGGACCCCACCAGGGGGATCCGACCTCAAAACAGGAAGCTGAGGGCCAATGCCCTGTGTGGGCCTCAAGCTTAGACAGGCAGTGGGCGTGGGGTGAAGGCTTCCTGAGTGCCCCACCCCGGGCCACCCAAGGGCCTGCCCAGAACTGATGGCCTTCATTAAGCCCGCGCTTATCCTGGAACCACAGAAGGTGACAAAGCTGCCCGGCCTTCCTTCTCGGCCTGTGGAGCCCCGACAGTTCATTGGGGACTTGCTTGGCACCGGGTGGATGTGGGGGGAAACCCTAAGCTTCTGCCCTCTCTACCCCTTTGTTTTTCCCCCC